AGTCCCACATCCCCACTGCAACCCCCCTGCAACATTCCCAGGTCAAATCTGCCCTGCTCCCTGCTCCGTCACAGGGGCCCCGTTAGGTGGGCAGTTACGTCACTGAGTCCCGGGGCTCTGGGTGGGGTTAGATCCTTGTGACGTGTCCCAGTTGCTGCCTGGGGCCGGGCCGGGGCACCGTGGTGGGGCTGACGCAGCTGGGCAGCATTGTCGTGGCACCTGTGTGGGGTTGCTGTGGTGGGGATGGCGCAGCCTGGGTGAGCCGGTTGCCATGGCGGGGTGCTGGCCTGGGGCCTGCTGGGTTGCTCTGGCAACCGCTGCCGCGCTCTGGTGTGCTGGCTCTCGTGCGCGCTCTGTCCTTTCCCCCGCGTGCCCCAGGGCCGGTCGTGGGGGGTCTCTGCCTCACCCCTAGCCACGCTGTCTCTGCTTGCCAGCTCCATGATGTACTCGGGCGAGCTGAAGTTCGAGAAGAGGACCATGTCGGCCCAGATCGAAGGTGGCGTCCACGGCCTCCACTCGTAAGTGCCCTGCTATTTCCCAGCCCCGCCGGCTCTGCCCGCTGCTTGGCAGCGTCTCGTTACCCAGCAGGGGGTTGCTGGGCTCTGAGCTCCTGGGGGCGTCTCTGCATTTCCTGACTGCCTGGGGGGCTTGGTGCAGGCAGGGGCCCTCCTCTGACCCTGCAGCCCCACAGGCAGCCAGCAGCAGCGACCATCCCACAGGTTCCTGCCCCCTCTGCCCCCTTCGCCATGTGTCGACTGGGATCCTTCTCTTCCCACCCTCTCCTGCCCCTGCTCTCACTGCTGTGACAGTCTGGCATTGGGTGCACTGTGGTAGCGCCGAGGCACCCTACTCATGGGCCTGCTCCCTGCGCGCTGGGTGCTGTACAAACACACAACAGGAGGGTGCTCCTCGCCCCAAGGAGCTCAGCATCTCCCTGTGAGACAAGAGACCCCAGGAGGATACAGGCAGAGTGGAAAGGATGGGTCCAGTGGTTGAACAGCTGCCTGGAGCCGGGTTCCCTGCTGGAAATCCCAAATGTTCTCCTCCCCTTTGGGGGGCAGCAGAGGATTTCTCCGGGGGTGGGGAGGGCCAGGGTGGATCTGTGGAGCTCCCTGTGCCCGCTCCCCGCTCTGGGTGGGCAGCACTATTGTCACTGGGGCAGGCAGGGACCCTCCTCGGAGAGCCACCCCCCCGCTTCGCTCCACGTGGTGCGCTGGGAATGCAGCTAGTCTGGGTGGAGAAGGGGCCTGCAGCCTCGCTCCATGAGGCCCGGGGAGCTGAGGACTCCAAGCCTGACCACAGATCCCTTCTCTGCGCTGGGGGCGGTGCTGCCTGGCCGGGCGTGGGGGACAGCCAGCGGCCAATGCAGAGCGCTGCACGTGCGGTATTCCAGCACCGAGCCCCTCCGGGTGACACAACTCAGGGCTGGCAGCTAGTCACTGCAGGGCTGTCCCTGCCACCCCATGCCCGTGCTGACCTGCCCAGCCCTCGCTAGCTGGGCGTAACCCTGGCGCCGCCAGTCTCCAGGCCCCTGTCCCCACTGTGCTGGCCGCGGCTGACTCCGCGCTGGGGTCTGTTCTGACAGGCCAGAGGGGTGAGGGCAGAGCTGGTAGCAGTGTCCTGCTGACCAGGAGAAGTTGTTACCACAGCGAGAGAGAGCTTCTGCTTCTCCACACGTCGCTGACCCCTAGACGCCTCAAGAGGCCAGGTCTGGCCCCTCCTGGGGCTGGGCGAACAGCCGTTCCCATGCAGTGCCGGGGACTGTCGCTGGGCGGTGCGCGTCTGACAGCCCCCTGCACTGTCCGCAAGGGAGCGGATCCCAAATGCTCACCTGGCTGCCGCCTTCCTGGTTCTCCCCTTCACAGCAGGGCGCTGCTCTGGCTCCCTGCTCCTGCGTCTGCCCCGGGGTGTGGTCTCTCTCTGAGCACCGGTGGGACCCCGAGGGGTTGGGTTAGCAGCCCCCTGCCCAAGGGACTGTGTATTGTAGCTAGGACGCTTGGAGCCGTCACGGCATCACCTGCCTGCTGTTGTTACTTGTGTTTATTCCAATAGTGCCTAAGGACCAGCCGAGATCAGGGCCCCTTGCGCTAGGCGCTGTACGAACACGGGGTAGCAGAGAGTCTGTCCCAAAGAGTTTACAGACTAAATAGACCAGATGGCTTTGGTGGGTGAGAGCCACTTGCCAGAGCCTGTGGCCATGCACCCTGCATACAGAGGGTGCAGCCTGCGGTTCCCGGCATGCAGAGCTCTGCCTTGCGCCCGGCCCCTGAGGGCAGCGTCTGGGTGCTCAGGCTCGGAGAATTCTGGAGGCCGTTTCTGGCCCAGAGGCTGCGTGTGGTCACGTGCCAGTCCGCCCCGGTTAACATGCTGCCAACAGACAGCTCCCAGGTCAGGCAGCACGGAGCGAGCCCCAATAGAGACCCGATGTTTTACCCTGACTTTGTTCAGCCAAAGCAATGGGCCTGTGGGGCCAGCCGTATGATCTCGGCCCCGCGCTGAGCGCTCCTGGGGCATGGGGGGCGAATCAGGCAGCATATCCGGGAGATGCGGGGTGGGGGGTGGAGACGCCAGCGTCTTTCATCTGTTGGCCTGTGGGAAGGCTGCGGCCTTTGGTTCGTTCCAGGCAGGGGGAGCGTTTAGTTGGTAAAGTCTGCACGGGCACAGCTGGGAGTGGGGGAGCAGCAGAGGGACCCAAGGCTGGGGGTCTGGGTGTGAGTCCAGTCTAGCGTCCAGGCGGGGGCTCTGGGGAGCAGTGTCCCGTTGCCAGAACAGACACTGATCGTTTCGTTGGAGGTATCGTCAGACGTAGGCAGAGTCCTAGGCAGAAGGCTGAAAAATGTCTGTTCAGGAGACAGGCCTGTCAGCGAACGCGGCGGCTTCTCAGACGTGCGCTCAGCCTGGCCGGCACGTGGCCATTTGATTATGGGGTTTTCCCTTTGGCTTTCCAGGCTCTCTCTAAGTAGAGAGCTCCATTTTCCTCTCCCGCGTTCTCCCTTCGGTAACGCAGGCTCGTAACGACAGGCCTGAGAGCATGGCTGCGACCGGTGTGTTGGGGCCGGGGAGATGGGCTGGCCCAGACTAGCCCTCGAGCCCAGCGTGCGGAGAGACTAGTGCTCTGACGGAGCAGGGTAGAGAATCCCCTCGGGTCCTTCAGGGCACGGTCTGTCGCACCGGACGACCCGGGCACGCTGGTGCCGTGGGAGCGTCCCTAGGTAACCAGGGACGTGCCCATGGCCTGGCTGTCAGCATCTTTCAGCCTTCGGGGTGGGGGTTACACCTCAGGGCAGCTGGGCCCGTCTCCCCGGGCCCCTCCCAGCAGGGAGGTACCAGGGTGCCTGCCCGGAGCTCGGCATCGGCCCGTTTGCCGATACTCCCTAGTGCTGCAGAGGATAATTTTGTGCTTGGGTGAGGCGGGGCTTGTGCTGTAGTGGAGGTCAGCCATGCTGGTTGGCTGGCTGGCCTGTCTATCTTCCCATTCCTCGCTCATTGGCTGAGACTCGAATTCATCCCCTGCCCTGCCTGGGGGGATTAGAGCGGATGGCACCGGCTCAGCCCTCCCCTGGCGTTAACCCGCCTGCGCTGTCCCCTCCCCTCCCCGGCAGACTGCAGGCTCGCCGGGCTGGGCTCCCTGCCTGGGGGGTTGCTGGCGCTCGCATGGGACGATCCTGCGGCTGGGGGAACGCTGTGCGGGCCCCATTTCTAGCCCCTCCTGCGCGAATCAGGATCTTTGGCTGCGCCCGCACCCTGTCCTCATCCCCCCTCCCACCCGAGGGCAGAGCAGCCCTGGCCGGCCCTCATCCCCCTCGGACCCTCCACGGCAGCGAGATGGAGCGCAGCGGCACCTGCCCACTCCCCTGGCACCCTGCCGTCGTGTGCGCTGGTCAGCTGCACAGGCGTGACCCGCCGGAGGGAGTTGGTGGCAAAGGAGAGACGCTGTTCTCTCAAAGCGAGCAGTCAGGCACTGACAGCCTCGGATGGTTTCTCCAGTCACTTCCGCCCTTGGCCTGCTGGCACGTGGAGATCTCTGCCCTCCCCGGTTAGCTGGCAGTCGAGACTCTGCTGTAATAGCCAGTGGGGGGTTAGTTGAGAAACACTCCGCTGCCAGCTCCTTTACGTGTGTCTTCGTTTCATTTCCTTCCCCTGACTGTTCCTGGTGCCGGAGGCACCTTCCGACCGAGCGGCCAAGCCAGTCTCCGCGGCGTCCCACCGTGCCCGTCGTGTGATCAACTCACTCCTTTGCATGTTGGGCCCCGCCGGGGTCGCTTCCTTTGGGTGGGAGCCGTGTCCTAGACTGCTGGTCCTTCTCCGCCAGAACCCGCCCATCCGGGGACGCTCGTCTAACGCTCTCCCTGCTGGAGTGAGCCGTGAGGGGAAAGACATTCTCTGGCCCCCAAAAGGGGCTCTCCTTCCTGAGCTCCCACTCCTCCTGCGCCCTAAGCCAGGACTCCCTGCTGGAGACTCCTATTGCTGGTACCCAGAAAGGGTCTGCAGCCCCTTCAGCCAGCTGCCCTTGGGCCTCCAAACAGTTTGGCACCAGCTGGGAGTTGGCACTGGAGCCCAGTACCGCCTGCACCCCGCTGTGAGGGCATCCCACGGTGCAGCTCCTCTTTCCCCAAACAGAGACCAAAGAAATGGAGTTAGGAATGAGTATGGAATGGCAGGTCGCCCCTCGGTCCTGCCCGGCCCACAGAACGCACAGGGCCCGGGCCCAGACGAACACGTCCGTGATCAGACAGCAAAACCCTGTCTGAGTGTTGGGTCACGTGGCACCAAGCAGAGATGTGACGCCGCTTGCCAGAGGTCACCTCCTCTCTCTCCGGGATGGCTGAGCGTCCTATGGACGCTCACCTCCTGGGCCTGACGGCTGGCCGAACCCCAGGCAGTCTGCAGAGGGAATCAGGCACCCCTCCCAAGGGGAGTGACTGCAGATGCCCAGAAAGAGTCCTGACCCCATGTCAATGGGCTGGAGTACAGGGCAGTTGCATTGGCTACAGAACATTCCTACAGTTCCGAAAGGAACCATGGTGCAGATGCGGACGGACGGCCCCACCGCGGCAGGCGGGGGTACCCATCCAGCAGGGGAGGAGGGACCGGTGCATGGAATAAATGCCATGGCTCTCCTCCCCCCGGGAGTACGTCGCAATCTGGGCAGACAGTGCTGAGCCAAACACGTGCGTCACTGAAGGACTCCTCTGTTCTCGGACCTGCTCGCCCCCAACAGGAACAACAGACGCCTTCTCTTCTGCCCCAGAGCACCAGCCCAGGGTCCCTCCAGGAAACCTGCCCCATGCCCCCAATGCCCAGGGTCGTAAGGAAGACGAGGCAGGATGCAGTCGCATGCATAGCCCCTTTCTGGGCCAGCCAGCATCAGCTACCAGACCATACAGCTGCGCCCGTCCGTACAGATGCTGACTGTCGCCCATCCCTCATCCAGACCCAGCGATTGTACAGCCGATGGCGTGGAAGCTGGCGGAGCCCTGCAGCCGCGGATGGCTCTAGAGAACCATACAAGAAATCC